AACTAATGAAAATGATACAGTAAGGAAGAATCTACCAACTTAAGAAAGTCCAAGACCTGAAGATTCATTGCTGTTTTCTACAAAACTATTAAGGATGTTATATCACCCATACTCCTCAAACTCTTCAAAGAAATCAAAAGGGATGGAGTGTAGAAGTCAGTATCACTCTGATTCCAAAATTGTATTAAAAACCTATTAAAAAAGAAAGCTATAGGGCCGGGGATTTAGCTCAGTGGTGCCATTGCCTGCCTCGCAAGCTTAAGGTCCTGAGTTCAATCCCTGGTACCAAAAAAAAAAAAAGAGAGAGAGAGGGAGAGAGAGGAAGAGAGAAAAGAGAACTATAGGCCAATATCTTTAATGAACACAGGTGCAAAAATCCTCAACAAGATACTAGCAAATAGAATGCAGCTCATCATCAAAAAGACCATACAGGGCTGGGGATTTAGCTCAGCGGTTCGGTGGCCTGCCTTGCAAGCACAAGGACCCGAGTTCAATTCACGGTACAAAAAAAAAAAAAAAAAAAAGATCATACATCTTATTAAAGTAGTTTTCAACTCAAAAATTCAAGGATAGTTCAACATAAATAAGTCAATAAATATATCACATAAACAGAAGTGAGGTCAAAAACCACATAATCATATCAAAATATTAAGAAAAGGCTTTCAACAAAATCTAACACTTTCATGATAACAACCCTGAAGAAAATAGGTATAGAAGGTATATCAAGTTGTGCCAAATTGGATAAAAGCTATTTATGAAAAACCAACAGCTAGGATCATATAAAATGGGGAAAAATTAAAATTATTCCCCTAAAATCAGGAACAAGACAAGGATTGCCACTACCACCACTTCTATTCCACATAATACTTGAAACATTAGCTATAGCAATCAGGCAAGAAAAAGAAATAAAAGGGATACATAAAGGAAAGGAAGAACTCAAATTACCATTATTTGCAGATGACATGATATGCTAGAAGACCCAAAGAACTCCTCCAAAAGCTCTTAGAATTCATAACCAACTTCACCAATATAGCAGGATACAAGATCAACATACAAAAAGTATAAGCATTTGTGTGCATCAATAATGAACTCAATGAGAAGGAAATTATGAAAACAATATCATTAACAGCAGCTTCAAGAAAATGAAATACAGGATACCTCAGTTCATGAACACTTATGTTTGCAAACAATTTGGTTCACAAACAAAAGCTTTTGGCAAAATTTTGCTTCCATTTGCAAACTTTGCATCAGGTGACAAATGTGACCATGGCCATCTGCCAAAGTCATAAAGCAAGTTCAAAGCCAGGTACCACTGTACCCAGAAATACATAAACAAGGAAGTGAAAGACCTCTCCAGAGAAAATTGTAGCACTCTAAAAGGAGATTGAAGAGGACATCAGAAAATGGAAGGACACCCCCTGCTTCTGGATAGGCAGAAACAATATTGCAAAATTGGCCCTGCTCCCAAAACCGTTATACAGATTCATTGCAGTCCCAATCAAAATACAAATAGTACACTCTACAGAACTAGAGAAGTCAAGCCTAAAATTCATATGGAACCTGAAGAGACCCAAAATAGCAAAAGCAATCCTGGGCAATAAGAGCAAAGAAGGAGGCCTTACAGTACCAGATTTGGAGCTATACAACAAAGCAATGGTGACAAAAACAGAGTGGTACTGGCACAAAAACAGAAACGTGGATCAGTGGAACAGAACAGAGGATACAGAAACATTCCCAGATATATTCAGCTATTTAATCTTTGACAAAGGAGTCAAAAGCATATGTTGAAGGAAAGACAGCATTTTCAAAAAACAATGTGGGAAAAGTGGTTATCTGTTTGCAGAAGATGGAAAATTCTGTTTAGAAAAAAACTATCTTTAATTAGAAATATTTTACTCAAAAGCTATACTGTTACCATATATGGTCCATTTATAGAATGAAACATAACTTTGGTATGAGGTTGTTGTTTTGGTTTTGGTTGTTTTTTGGTTGTTCTTGTTTTGTTTTGTTTTGTTGTTTTTCCAGTAGTGGGGATTGAACTCAGGACCTGGCACTTGCCAGGCAGACACAGTGCCACTGAGCTACATCCCCAGCCCCTGAAACATAACTTTTACAATGTTACACAATTATGCCACCCACACATATAGTAGTTTTAAAACTTATTTTATTAGCTTACATGTGTGTCCCAAAGTATGTCACTATAGGTATAAGTACTGTACATCTTGAAAAGAACATATAACATACTTGAGAGGGAAAAGTCCAAAATCTTTGTTTCTGAACATTGAAAGGTTTTGCTATTACAAAAAATGATTTAAAAATCTCATTAAATATCTAATTTAAGCAAAGATTAGACAATAAAATAATACTTTTTATCAGAGAAATGAGCAAGCCTTTTAGCATCTCCTTAAGACCATTTGCATTAGGCCATATAAACAAACCCATTAACAGACCAGGTAGGTTATAGCCATTAATTCTTTAAAACAAAAGATTTTTAAAACAACTGTTACTAGAATATTAAGTGAGTTGTGTTATTGCAAACTATTAACTTTAGAATATCTTAAAATGATGAACAGGTACATCCAGGGGAAAGACATAGGCACCTTAAATATAAAACAAAAAATAGCACCAGTAAAGCAGATTTTCTTGTCATAAGGTGATCAAGCCCAAAGACAAAAGCTCCTTGAAAGCTGATGGGGGAACAACTGTCACTCAGAATCCTACCATCAGCAAAGGTATTAGAAATGAATACGTAATAAAGATTATTTAAGATGTTTTGAAAAGCAAAGCCAAAGTGGGGGGAATTAATTACCAGCAGGCCTGTATTTCAAGAAACATCAAAGGAATTCTGACAGAAGGGGTATGACACCAGGCCAGAAATTTTGTCCACAAGAAAGTAAAGAACTGTGCAGAGAGGAAAACTGAAGAGGAAAGTTTACAAAAAGAGCACATTTTTCTGATGTTATGGAGCCTTAAAATGTAATTGGCTGTTTAAAGCAAAATGGCAACAGTTGGCTTTATAATACCCACAAAATGTAAATGTCTAAACATCAGCACAAATTTTACCAGGAATTAGCATATACACTTCCTCATAGTTCATACAAATCTGTATAGTACTACACAAAATTGTAACATAAGTTAAGAGTATATACTATAAACCCTCAAAAGAGTTAGAAAAATTAAATAGAAAAGAAATAGTTAATAAGCCAAAAACAGAGACAAAATTGAAATTATAAGAAGTTCAATTAATCCAGAGAGAAATAGAAGGGGGAGAAAGAAACATAAATGGATGAAACCGATAGAAGCAACTAAAACAATGGTAGGTTTTAATCCAGTGGTATCAGTACTGATATTACATGTCAACTGTCTAAAACCTCAGTTAAAACCCAAAGTCATTGAGATTTCATCTTTTTAAGTTTATCTTCCTGTACTCTATTCTCAGTTAATGGTACTACCATCTTCCAGGAATACCCGAGCCAGAGGCCTGCAACACACTGTAGATTTTTCTCTATCTTGTATTTAAAATGTTAATAGTCATCAAAGAAGCCTCCCTGTGTTACTTTATAAAGTATACCTCAAATCTGCATACTTCTTCTATCCCTGCTCCTATTTGTATACACTAGACACTAATTAACGCTCTTCAGATTTCTGCACAGTCTCCTAACTAGTATAAGTGGTAATTCCAGTTCTGGACCAACTACAGTGATCCTTCCCACAGTAGCTAAAGAATTCTATTCAAAACACATATTTGAAGGCTTAGTCAGCTTTCCCATCACCAAACACAATCCAATGCCCACAACTTAAAGGAGATGTTTAATTTTGCTCACAGTTCAGGAGATTCAGACCATAGAGCGCTGGCTCCAAGGCAGGACTAACGTGAGGGAAAGGCCTGGTGGGGCAAAAAGGTCCAGTCCACAGTACCAGGCAACAGAGCAAACAGTGCCGGGAGGAACGGCTGAGGAGCCAGATATGAACACCGGGTCAGCCCTCCATGACCACAGACACTCCCAGAAGTGTGTTTTACTAATCTCTAGGCATTTCCTAATCCAATCAAGTTGAACACTCAAGTTAGCACTCACAAGGGCCTGAGTTATCCATCTCTCTTGCGGTATAAAGGGGGAAGTGCAAGCTCTTTTAATTGCTGCATGAGAACCTCAAAGGATCAGATTCTTTCGCCTCTTCAGCCCCATTTCTTGCGACATCCTATGTTAGGCTTTGGCAATGGCAAACTGATGTCATTTTATATAGACAAGCCGTGTAGCTTCTCTTCTTACTTTTCTCTTCTGCATACTTTGACTTGGATTTTTTTCTGGGCCTAGAATCAATGCCCTTCAGCCCCTCTCACAGGTCAAACCCCATTGATCCTTTAGATCCATCCGCTCTGTCTCTCATTCTCAGCTCCCCCTGCACCCACCTTTACGTACCAAGTGGGAACCCACATTCAGGCTTTCAAGACCAATGCCTCCTGGGAGTCTGCCTTGGCATCTGAGAATTACAAGTTCATAGAACCTTTCACAGAATGAATGTTTAAAAGCAGAAGTAATGCATGGAAGTCACTAAGGCTTTAAAGTGTACCCTTTGTTCCCCGGGACCTGTTAATTACCATTTAGGAACAGCTTATTTGCAATGCACTCAATTACTTAGGTAACTAAATAGCTTTCTACTGATCAGATGAAGCATCATTTGCCTAATAGCAATGAACAAGTTCAGCGGAGCAGTTCCACTGATAGTTTGCTTTCAGAAATAAGTTTATTTAAGATGAGGCTCCAGGGGACAAGCAGACTTCACCAGAATACACTCTAATTATTCATATAACCACTCAGACCTAGAGAAGCATCAGTAACCAAAAGGGGAGATCTAAGCAACTCCAACATCCCCTACACTCCCTGCGTTCCTACCACAAAAAGCTTCACAACACTATTTTATTAGTCACAATCCACAATGCTCAAGGCCCTGCTCAAATCTTCTCTCTTCAGCAAGAACTCCTTCATCCCAGAGCTGCCATGGAATTTTTCTCCTCTGGCCTCAGATACTTCTGTTGTGTGGCCTTGCCAAGGCTGCTTCCTGTCAGTTCCTATAGGGGAACAGAAAGGCAGAGACAGACATAGCAACATAGGACTGGGAGAGCACATACACCTTTTGGGGGACCATTTCATGAAAATGGTCAAGAAAAGCTTCAGAAGAGTGTTACAGCTGTGTCTACATATCCCTCCCAAAGCCTCATGTGAACACAGGTGGATTTTGCAGAGATGGTTCTGTCTACAGTGTGTGATGCTGGCATGAAGGGCGTGTGATTACTAAACCAGTACACTGATTGGTTTGACACCACCCTAATCCTGGGTAAAATGAAAGGGGCGGCAAAGCATTGTTAAGTTTCCCTTGTTGCTTTTGCTACTGTGTGGGGGCCATGGACTGTTTCTCCTCTGTGACCCCCCCTCTGCCATGCCACCCTGCATTGAAGCCAGCTGATTACAGACTGAAACCTCTACAAACTGTGAGCTAAATAAACCCTTTCCCCTTTAAATTTTGATGTTTAGTATGTATTCTCAGCAGCTAGAAAATGAAGCCAAAGAGGAAGCAACTAAATATTGACAGATGAATAAGATTTCAGTGTGCTGATAAAAGGAGAGTGGTCATCCCAAGCAGAAGGGATGATTTCTGAATGCACAAAGGGTGTTCAGTGCTAAAATGCCAAATAAGGACTGATAAGAAGCAGTCATCTGTTTGTAAGAGCTATAGTGAAATACCATAGACTGGATAACTTATAAACAGAAATGTACTATCACAGAGTTCTGAGTACTGAGAACACTAAGGCTAAGGCTTCAACAGGCCAAGTGTCTTTTCATTCTCTGCTTCCAAGATGGCAGCTAGATTTCCACAGGGCAGAAGGTGGACAAGCAAGAGCACTCTCACAAGCCCTGTTTATAAAGGCGTGGACATTTCATGAGGCCAAAGCACTCAAAACCTAAATGCTTCCCATTAGGCTAAAGAAATTGACACAAACCCACACTGAGGACCTACTGAGGATGCTCAGCAGTCCTGAGCACATCCAGTAACTGTCTGCAGTCAGGATACAAGTAAACTTCCTGTGCTCTGCCCATTGTATAAACACCTCCATCTACCTCCATCTGCTGACAACAGAAGTTCACTCTTTCCAGGATGGAGACTCCATTTCCTGTCTACCTCCTAGTTCAACTGTATGTACTCTCGCTGTGTCTCCTGGAATGAGTGTTATCTCCTTCAGGACCAAAAACTCCAATCTGCTGAGCACAGAGGTGCACATAAAGAAGCACAGAATGCTCAGAAGATCACTGGGCATGATTTTTAACTAAGATCATTCCTTCCCCTCCTCCTTGGTTCTCAGACCTATACGTACTTCCTGTTAGGAACACAGCAGCGTAAAGGGGGCTCTGACTGCATATCCAGTGTTCTGATTGGTGCTCCTCCCATCTTTTCAGGGCAGGATCTGCAGGCTGGCTCTTATCTGTTCCTTCAGTAGTACACACCAGTGCTCTGTAAGGACAGTTGCTTCTGGGTGGTATAGATCATGTGCCAATCCCACATTCCCTTCACTATGGAACAGACATATGTTCTCAGACACTATGTTGTAAGGGCTTCCATTCTAGTTAGGAAATGTGGAAACCCCCAGAGAGCAGTGAAAGATAGTGACTGTAGATCAGAGGACAGGAAAGGCAAGTGCATATCCCAAATAGGTATAGCACCAGGAGCACGGCTGGACCTCGAAGGACAAAAGGTGTCCAGTGTCAGGTTGACACAAAGGAAGCAGTTGATCTCCTCAAGAAATAGTCCGTTTTGAGGGGCTCAGTGTTAGCCTCTGTTAATGGCAGGCTGGACAGCCAAAGACAGTCAGAGCTGGATTGGCCATGAGAAGTAGCGGGCCGCCTTACTGGTTAATGAATAGACTTCTCTGTCATTGTGACCATGCCATATGCTCATCATGTCAGTTCTGAGGTGATCGGTGACAAAGCCTGGATAATGTAAAATGGACAAATCATTTGTCATTTTTCCTCCATGCAAAGTGAAAAACAGATACACTGACTACAACTCCATGTATTGGAAAGATCCTCCCTCTCTGCTGCCTTTCAAGGTCACCCTGGATGCAGCTGTAATGTACTACTTTTTGCTTTGCACCTACATAGTGAACTAAGCCAAGGTTGTATTGTATCTCCACATAAGCATAAGCGTGAGTGGAGCACAGCCATTGTGCAACCTTGGGGGATGATAGGGGGAGAAGCTGGTCTACCTGCTCGTGCTACTTACTCGTGCTGAACTGGTCTTCTGCAGCCCTGATATATATCACTCCCATCTTTCAAAGGACAGCTGTCAGGCCTGTCTGACTTGATGACTTCATGCACCTGTAACTTATAATACATTTCCAAACACCTAGTGCTCCCATTATCAAGCATTCCTTCAGTGGCAATGCTCAGAAACATTGTAGGAACTGTTTCTCAAAAGGCATAGAGTTCTCCACTGCCATTGATTTGGCATTGCTCCAGAGCTCCAAGAGCTGTGTTCTGATTTTCCCACTGGGCATTCTCCTACTTCAAACTATCTCTTTTTCCATTGACATAACCTACACTATAGGGTCTGCTGGATTATATGCCCCAAGCAGTAGAATTGTTTACACCTCAGTCCATGCATGCTGCAGACCCCTTTCCTGCTCCAGGCCCACTCAGGACTGTGGGACTTCCACCACATCCAGCACAGGCCACAGCCATATTACTAGATGTAGAATGTGTTGCCTCCAGACCCCAAAGAGACCTAAAAGGTACTTGCTTTGTTTAGCGAGGTAAGGAATGTAGGATGCAGCAATTTATGTTGTGCTTCGGGGACAGGAATGTGGGTATTTTCTAGCAGCTCCTCACCACTGGACCATGGAAGATTTCACTGATGTGGCACATTCCTGAATTTTGAGTCTGTTCCCCACCTTCCACAGTACATTTATCTTACTGAGGCCTAAAATGTACTGGACATTTCTTTCTTGGCCTTTCCAGTGACATCACCAATGGATCAACATTCTGCAATGTTTCCAGGACTCTGCAGACCATATTACGGCAAATATTAGGAGAGTTAACATAGCTTTCGGTAAAGCAGTAAATGGATATTATTGTCTGTTCCGTATGAATGCAAACTCTTTCTGATTATCTTCACCCATAGATTAGTACAGTGCACTTGTCAAATCTATTCCTATATACCACAAACCTGAGACCATAAAAACCTGCTCTAGTCAAGGCACTATGCCTGCACTGCAGCTACCATCAAGGCTACTACTTGTTTGAGTTTGTGGCTGTCTACACTCATTCTCCAAAATCTGTCCAGTGTCAGCCGGGGCCAAACTGCTGAAATGAGCACTTTCCTGTTGCCCTTCGGGACTAGAATGGAAAAACCAATATGTGGTTACTCCAACTGCCAAGTATAACTATTCTAGTATAACCATTCCTGTAGTCAGACAATGACTAGTGGGAAGGGCTACAGATGTAGTGGATCATCCCACTGCGACCAGGGTTTCATTCGTTACCTGGCCTCAAAAGATTCTACTCTAACAGTGAGTTGTAATGATACTCACTTCTCTGGGTTTCATATCAACCCTAACACTGTGCCCAGTAGTCCTCAGAATGTCTGTGTAGTCCCCCTTTTTCCAGTATACAGTCACCCAAATATCTGTGAGTCCTTTGGGAAGGATTACAGAAATCATGACACCACACACTTGCCTCTGTGACCACCTCTCCTACCCTTGCCTGCAGACAGAAGCCACTGCTGAGGCTTTGGTGATACCAGCGTCTGTCTCACCAATACATTCCTGGTAGTCTTGATGAGTGTTCTGTCTTCTAAACACTCCTGGAAAATAATTCTCTGGTGGGTTTTCTGGCTTCATAAAGTATATCCACTAGAACCAGTCACTTACCACAGGCGTTTTATTCTTTTTTCTACTCACAGAGCTGCTTCAAAATTTCCATTTTGCTTGGGAAGAACCCCATCACTTTCTCCAGGACCCTAAGAGCTACCTTAGCAATGAGCTTGCCCTGCCTGTAGGGTTCTTGATAGGGTGCTGTACCCATGTCCGGAAAAAGTGACCACAACTCATGATAGAGAAAGGTTTTATAAACAGCAAAAACTTGTAAAGTGTTACAATGTAGAATGGCTTCTGCTGTCTCTAACAGCAGTCTGTTTTGTTTAGCTCAGAACCAACAGACACAGAAGCATCTAGTCTTGCTCAAAAATTTTTTAAACCAGATGATTGTAAAGAACCATTGTTGACTTTACTGACCAGACACAACCCCTTCCCCTGGACTAGGATAACCAGATGAATTTTCAAGGTAACCTCCCCTACCAAAGAGGTGATACATCTGAGCTCATAGCCAGACAATCTTAAAGGTAAACTCCCACCACAAAGGAGTACTACATCTGGGTTGAAATTCAACTGCCTGGCCACCATGATTTGTATATCAGCAATGTGAACTGTGAAAATAAAATGTAACCACCTGAAAGAAACCAAGCCTGAAAAACCCTGTAAAAGAAGGAGTTGTAGCCCAGTACTTGGTCGATCCCAGTGCTGCAATTATGTGGGATTGACCTTTGTTGACAAGTAAATATTTTTTATATTTCCTTCCATTCTGCCACCTCTCTGTGTGCCACTTACCAATTCCTTCCATAACACTCAGTGACATCTTGCTTATCCGGTCACGTTTCCATTCCACCCATCAATCAGCAGAGACGCTCTCAAGTGCTATTTTGAAAAAGACTCCCACTATCAATGAGTGATGTCTGCTAAGGGATAAGGGATGAGAAGGAGTTTCTAGAGATATGTCATTTTGCCATTCCTGTTTTAGACATTTGTGCAACTTGTATAGTCTGCAACTATAGAATTGATTCTAATCTTCCCACAAAAGATCAAAGTTCTTGACCTCGGCTTCAGTTTCTCTATACACTAGTCCAACCAAGTAATTTGATTAAATTAATCGATTGTGTGCTTCATTCTTTCCAAGGACATATGTTGAAAGTAGAAAGGGGAAGAAAACACTAGAGTCTGAGGTAAGGAGATAAGAGGCTTAAGTTGTAGAGTGAAGAATGTGGGGCAGGGAATTTTGAAGGGTTTCCCAAAGGTAAAAGGTAAATTTGCTTTTCTCAAAATTGCTGCCTTCTGGTTCTCACAGAGTGCTTGCTTTGAAACAGGTCTAGACCCCCCTAAAACTCTTCTGTGACTTAAAAGATCAGTTCAGTGATTCCTTGCTTGTTCCTCTATCCCTGCTGAAATCCTTCCTATGCAATTATATCTGAGTGCTTAACAAGCTCCGACAATGAAAACCAAGGGCCTTGGCTGGGGATATAACTCAGTGGCACTGTACCTGCCTTGCAAACACAAGGTCCTGAGTTCTAGCTCTGGTACCAAAAAAACAAAAACAAACGAACAAAGCAAGGGCCTTCTGCCTAATCTTCCTTTTCCTCAGTGGCCATCTGTAAATCAAGAGAAGCAAAAACTCCCCAGAAATTCACCTCCAAAGCAGCACAGCTGCAAATCTGAGAAACTGAAACAAGACCTGTGTTTTTTTGTAGACTCTTTCACAGGCCTGGTCAGCATCTTGACAGACATCATCTGGCCATTCACTGGGGACTTCCTGGCGCCAGACCTGATCTGCTGAGTGGTTCGCTATTTGCAGGTACGTGGCACCTGCCAAACATGGTGAGACAAACTGACAGCAAAGGACAATAATCCAAAACCCAGCTCTCCTGGGCAGCAGATTACCACTTCCTCCTATGTGAAATGACAAGCACCATTTGTCAAATTTTTTAAATGTAATTTTGTAGTTTATTGTAATTTTGTAATTTAAAATCATGTAAATGTGCTAACATACTACTATATATTAAAAATACAAATGAGCAATTATAAAAATATAAAACATTCATATTTCAATCATCAAGTAGAATTTCTTGGTCAGTATAAAACTTTTGACATAGTATGGCTAAATAATCTCTAGAAAAATTGTCAATTATTTTTACCATTTACCTCTCAAACTAACCACTGTTCTTTAAACAACAAAAAAAGTTAACCATTTCCTTAAAAATAAGTATTGACTAATTGCCACTTAAACTACACTTTTAAAAATATCTATTGACATTTGAATTTCTTCTTCTCTGCTACATTTAGTTTTAGCAGCATTGTTTAGGATCTGCATTCATAATTAAGATTACAATTTCCATTTTTTGTCATTTTCAGGTCTTAGTAATGGAGTTCTTTCAATTTGCAGGTAATGGGTGTCAAAGAGTTATGATTTTAATCTTCTTGTGTGCTTTGAACATATTTTGACAGCATGGTAGGTGTGAAAGAGCCCCTAGCACTGAGAGTGACACTTTCTCAGGAGTAATTTTGTAAAACCTATTTCAATTTCTTCTTGAGGATCAGTACTTCCTTGTAGATAGATGTTTTTAGTTGCTGACTCTATTAGTAATTAATTGATGAGATACAAATTATGGCAAAACATAGTGGCTTAAAACAATAAGCATCTATCATCTTGGTTTCTGTAAGTCAAGGATTCTGGAATAGCCCTGCAGGAAGGTCAGTTAGAGGCTCAGCAGATATTTCTCAGTGCCACCATCATTGGAAGGCTTGACCAAGGTGGGGGAATTCACCTTCAGACTGGGTCCCTCAGCAGGCTGGCGAGACTCCTGGTGCTGACAGGACACCCACACCTTCTCCAAGGCACCTGCTCACAGTACTCCCCATCCTGATGACATCTCAGCGGGCTGCCCCAAGATAAACCACCCAGCTGACAGGTAGACGCAGCAATGTACTCCACGACCCAGGCTGGGAGGTCACACAGCCTCTCTCCACATCGTGCTTGTGGTTGCCCAGGTCTGCTGATTCGTAAGAGAGAAAAGGTGCACAAGAGAGATGGACACTCAGAGGCAAAGCCTGCTGGGCTTGTGCGAAAGATCGGCAATCACACATATCTCTATGCTGTTCAAGGCACAGTATCACTTATTTCTTCCCTAATTGTCCACTTTAAATGACTTCTTGATCCAGAAATACTCATATCAGTAACATTCCTTCTTATTTATTTCTTTTATATTTATAAGAAGTACTAAGAAATATTACGCAGAAAATATATCTTGTTGGCATAGCAAAAGAAGGCAGGGAAGAAACTAATAATTCCTTCATAAAAACAGCAATAAAACTTGCAGAAATTGTTAGAATCAAATTTTTAGGACTCTGGAAGTTAACCAAAGGTGTACAACAACTGAGAGAGCATTTATTCAAGAAAATGGCAGACTCTCAAGAGGAGGAATGAGCTTGTTGGTGTTTCAGCTGGTATCACTCTCACCCTCTAGTATCCAGCTTTTTGGGAGCCTTGAAAATTAACAGCTCTCATCCACGGAAAAACAAATAGCCTGGCAGCCACCAGAGAGAGCAGATTAGGGTTTGAACGCTTTTGAGGCCTCACTGTTGGATGCCTGCCATGGCTCCACATGTCTGGTGCTTCCTTGGACTGCTGCACGTGTGAGGCTGCCTGCACTTCACTTTATTCAGAATGCTCCCACTGTGACAACTTCTCTCCTCGGGGCATTTGTCAGAAATAATTACAGATGACTGATTAACTTCATGGATGCCTGAGTTGCTGGGTAACTGTTGAGGAAGAAATAGACTAAATCTTAAAAATATAAGCTGGATAATGGTGTTCCTGGGAACTTTAAACATCTCTGTCTTGTCCCAAGACTCTTGAAAACCTGGTATATGCCCTGGCTGTGTCTAGCCTCTAAGAGAATAGAGAAGGCTCTAAACTGTTATCTTTGACCAAACTTAAGGAATTTGAGAAAATCCCAAATCCTCTCATGATAAAAAAAAAAGTTCAGTAAATTTGGTATAGAAGGTAAGTGTCTCAACACAGTAAAATCCATAACTGTCAAGTCCATAGCTAGGATCGCACTCATCAGAGATAATCTGAATGCTTCTTCTCTAATATAATAAACAGAAAAATGCCTTTCTCACTCCTTCTACTCAGTATAATACCTGAAGTCCTAGAAAGATCAACCAAGCAGGAGAAAGACTCAAGGCTTCCACACCATAAATGAAGACACTGTTCACAGATGACATGGAATTATATAAAAGAGCGCTCCAAAGACTCCTTCAAAAAACCTGTTAGAGTTAAGGAATTCAGTAAATTTTCAAGGTATAAAATCAAAATGCAAATATCCATAGCATTTCTATATGCTATTAATACATTATCTTAAAAAGAAATCAAGAAAAAGATCCCATTCATAATAGCTACAAAAAAACACATAATAAAAGACGAGAATAAACTTGACCCAGGTGGGGACAGATCTATATACTGAAAAGTATAAAACATTGATTAAAGAACAGACAAGTGGAAAAAGATCTCATGTTCATGGATTAAAATTAATATTATTATACTATGACACAAAGTTATATACAGACGCAGTCCCACTAACATTCCAGTGATATTTCAATAGAAACAAAAGAAATCCTAACATACATACAGAATCACAAAAGACCTCAAATATCCTATCAGTACTGAGTGAGGAGAGAAGGCTAGAGGCATCATATTGCTTGATTCAAAATACACTATGAACCTGTCATAGCTGTATTATCAAGGGATCTCTAAAGGGTTAGAAGACACAGGTAAAATTGTACAAGGAGATTAAGTGGCCTCACAGGATCAAAAGCAGAAGGGTTCACAAGTGGCCTTTTGCACACTGGAGATCCAGAGAATCCAATAGCTGCTCAACCCAGGAAGCTGGCAGCTTCAGAACAAAATGAATGGAGCATGTGGCACTGGTCCAAGATCAAAGGCAGAAAGCTCACAGGAGTGATGCCAGTGTGAGCCTGTGTTGGAAAGTTGAAGCCACTGGAGACCCGGAGACAGATGTCCAAGAGGTGGCAGCAAATGGTGTACCCACTTAGGCAGACTGAAGTGCTTCCAAATGAGCACACTTCCTCCTCCTTTTCCTCTTTACTCCATCCAGGCTACAAGCCTATTGGTTGGTGCCACCTACAAAGAGGGTAGGTTTCTTACCTCAAGGTGCTATCCACAGACTTATGCAGGACTGAGCTTTACTAATCTGCTAGGCATTTCTTCCTCCATTCAAGTTGACATATGACTAATAGTCACAATCAAAATAGCAAGGCACTTGCATAAAAACAGACATACAAACCAATGGAATAGAAGAAAGAGCCCCAAAATAAAGATATATATTTATGGACAAAAAAGATTCTAAGAACATAAATAGATTAAGGATATTTTTGTTCAATGAATAGCACTTGGAAAACTGGATATTCACATGCAGAAGAATGAAGTTAGATCCCTATAAATCATACCATATACAAAATTCAGCTCAAAATGAATGAAAGACTTAAATATAAGATCTAAAATCTTAAAACTGCTAGAAGAAAACATGAGGGAAAGTCCTCATGACATCTGCGCTTTCTTCAAAATTTTGTTGAACATGAACTTTAAAATACAGGTAACACAAGCAAAACTAGATAAATGGGATTATATCAGAGTGAAGAAAACCTTCTGTGCAGCGAAGAATCCCATGGAATGAAAAAATATATATTTGCAAACCATATATCTTATAAAGGGGTTATTATTAAAACATTAAGAAGCTTACATAACTCCACAGTGAGTGCAATAGTTTGGATATAGTTAACCATATTTTTCTCACTCATCTGTGTGGTTACAGGCTTGAAGCTCAGAGTGGAGGTATGGGGTGGAAGTGTAAGACATGGGGCCTAGGGAATGGTCCACAGGTTTTGGGGAGCACGTCTACAGGAGGTAGTTCTTGTGTGACCCTTTAGTTTTCATGAAAAGTTGTTATAAAAGCAGCAGCCCGGCCTTCCCATCTCTCTCTGCTTTCCATGGGTCATGTGATCCTCCCCCACACATGCACCACCATTAGACATCTGCCCTGGGACCCTTGCCAGAGGAGACCTTGCACCTGCACCAGGCTGTCTGAACTTTGAGTTAAATAAAACTGTGAGTTAAATAAACCTCTTTCCTTCACAAAGTTAGTCAGTGTCAAGTATTTCATTGCAGCAGTAAAAAGCTATGAGAAGTGAAAATCAACGATCCAATTAAATAAGGCAAAAGTCTTGAAAGGTCTTCTCCAAAGAAGACATACAAACAACCACAAGGTAAATGAGAAGGTGATCAGCATCATTAATCATCAAGTAAACACAAATTAAGACTATAATGAGATGTCACCTCACAGTTGTTGGAATGGCTAGTATCAATAAGACCAAAAATCAGAAGTGCTGTCTGGGACATAGAGAAAAGAACTCTGTCCACTGTTGGTGGAAATGTAAAATGATACAGCCACCATGGAAAACAGTATGGCAGTCTCTCAAAAAATTTAAAATACAGCTACCATATAACCCAGCAATATCACATCTGGGTATACAATGAAGAGACACAAAACAAATAATCCAAAGAAGTATATACACTCTAGTTTTCGTTGTAATGATATTCATAACAGCCAAGACATGGAAACATACTAGGTGTCTATGAACAGATAAATGAAAAAAGAAATGTGCTGTGCGCATACAATGAAATAAGAGTTACCCTTAAAAAAAAGAAGGAAATCCTACCATTTGCCACAACATGGATGAAACTGAAGAATTTCACATTGAATGAAGCAAACCAGG